GACGTACAATAAGAAAAGAAAACAAGTGACAGAGGGGAAAGGAGAATTAGATTGAAATGAAATGTTTTATTTATAATACTCGCAGATGTAGGTCATATTGATCATTCTTACAATCAACGAGTTCGGTTTTGCAAAAATAAATAAATACACAACAAAAAACAAAACGATTATGAAACATACATATTTGTACCTTTAATTCAGTTTTATTAAATTTAACATGTAGTGTGTAATATACATTATATGTGGCCTAACTTTATTGTGTTAGTACAATGCAAGATTTCAAATTACAATAACTACAATTTAAAAAATATGAATAATATATAATTATATAATAACTATTTAACAAGTGAATTAGTGAATGTATATATCAAGGAGTATTTGGTAGATACAAAAAAATTAAATTCAAAACAAACACAAAAATAACAGATATTAAACAAACATTTTTGTAAATGTAATGTAAAATTTATATGTACACTTCATATAAAACTTATATGTAGATAGGCAGGTATAGGAAATGGTTATACATATTTTTAAATTATTATTTATTTTAATTTATTTTTGAATGATTTTTCGGTTGTTTTTTTTTTCTGTACATCTTTCAATTTACAGATGCCTAATGTGTTATATTTGTCATAAATTTTATCATCATAGTTTAAATTTTGTATAAATCTCATGCACATATTAATACACCTTTCAAGATTTTTGGTAATTTATAACTCAAGTCTCTCATAACTATATTGCTGTAAAGTATATGAGGCATAATTACTGAAAAATGTGTGGTGTTTAGTAACCGTTAGTTAATGATTATTTGAAGATCGTGAGATGCGGTCTGGTGTGACGTATGTTTCAGAAAAACATTTTCTTTATCGTGCCAACGTTTCGATCTTTATTGAGATCATCTTCAGATCTCAAAGTGTTTGTTTTCCGTGTTCCTACTTCTGTGTCGTGTTGAGAGTGGCGCTTTGAGCCCTGAAGATGACATCAATAAAGTTCGAAACGTTCGAACGATAAAGAAAATATTTTTCTAAAACCTACGTCACACGACACCACATCTCATGATCTCCAAATAATCATTAATGAAAAAATATATCCTCTTTTTTTAAGAGACTTATAATACAGCAACTTGTTGCATCTATATATAGAGTACGCATTTTTTTAATAATTTAATTTACTTGCGTATTCCAGGACAAGTTAGATTCCACATTCCTAGTCAAACAGCATTTGTCTCATAAGGTCATCATTTCCTATTTTAATCGGAATTGTTTGATCTAGTTTGAAAATATTTAGTAGCTGTTTATGCCCTAAAATTAGATATATACATTTTTTTAATTTAAACATAGACCATGTTCTGTAAACCAAGTTTGAAGATTATTCACAACTGAATTTAGTTAATCTATTTGTTTCTATGTGTTGTTCCATTAAGGTTGATGACATTTGAATCTATATATACATTCAATCATCAGCTTAGAGGCCATGTTTGCACTATTTTAGTATATTAGATATGTGATTAATTTATAGTTCAAAGAGTATGCTGATAGTGTTGACCCTGGTATGCCTCTGTTGATGGATTTCCAATCAGAATATTGATTATTTGTTGTTTTTACTCTTTGTAGTGTACTATCAAGATATGATCTTATCCAATTTATAATTTAGTTTGAAATTTGTATTGTCTCTCAGTATAGTTATCAGTACATTATGGTCTAATAGACAGAGAGAAAGAAAGAGAGAGAGAGAGAGAGAGAGAGAGAGAGAAAGAGAGCAAAGAAAATATTCAAGTACACTCCAATACTGACATCTCTTAGGATGGTGTTTAGTTAGAAAATAAAAAGAGTGAGATAACATAGAAAATGGGAATAAGATGGTTGGGGTAACATTGTTTTTTATCATTCAATTAATTAAGGTTTTTAGTTGAGATGAAAAGTCAGTGTCACGAACGGGATTCGAACCCACGACCTTCGGCTTAGTACGCCGCTACTCTACCACTTGAGCTATCGTGACCTCGATCCACTCGGACACTAACTTCCCATCTCAACCGCACCTTTTGAATTTTCCCTCCTTTTTGCCATTTTTCAAATGTCGTTTAATCGGATTGGATTCTCGACGACAAATGAAATGGCCACGGAGAGCTTTTATGAAGTATACTTCATTTTAATTCATTCACTATTTTTCGTCGTCCGCTTGACCAATTGATATCACTCAATTAAGGTTTTTAGTTGAGATAAAAAAGTCAGTGTCACGAGCGGGATTCGAACCCAGGACCTTCGGCTTGATACGCCGCTACTCTACTACTTGAGCTATCGTGACTTCGATACCCTCGGGCACTAACTTCTCATCTCAACCCCATCTTTTTGAATTTTCCCTCCTTTTTGCCATTTTTCAAATGTCGTGTAATCTATTTTGATTCTTGGCCAAAAATGAAATGGCCACGGAGAGCTTTGGTGAAGTGTACTTCATTTTAATTCATTAAATTCACTATTATCTCAATTCTATTTTTTATCTCAACTAAAAACCTTAATTAATTGAATGATATTAATTGGTCAAGCGGACCACGAAAAATAGAGAATTGTTTTTTATCATTTTTTACGAAGTTTGAATGTGTTTCAGTTAATTTAATGCTAGTAGGGATGTTGTGTGTGTATTTATTTTGCCTGTAGTTATTTTGAAGTAGTGCGACGTATTTGAATCCATTTTGTTCGGAATGGGTGTGTGTGTTTACTTAATTTTTTTGTGTATATTTATTTGACGTTGTTAATTAACGAATCGACAAAAAATCTAAAGATTATGGTTTGATAAGCCGCAAACATCAATCAATATCCTTTGATAGTTTTGAATTTACAAAATAAAAACCTGCAAAAAAGTCAAAAAAGTGATTGCAATTTTGTTGAAGACTGTAAACAAAATAAAAGTCCCCAGATAAGCTAAAATTAAAATAAAACCTTAAATGAGAAGTCACCGTAGACAAGTAGTCCGAGGGTGGATTCAAATATGCAAATTTATGCTAAGCCTAAAACATGATTATTTTTATGAAAAGGACAAAGAACAGTACTAACTTTAGTGCAGAAAGAAAGATTATTCTTATTCATTGCCTCTATTTAAATAAGACAATGATATTTAAAACTTTTAAAAAGTTTTATTCTTTTAATTATATAAATATTTTTATTATATTTCTAGTTTAAAATGTATCTTATTTCGTGTTATAAATAGTATGCAGCTTAAGTACAGGCTTTCTAAATATTATTTTTAGTCTATGTTCATTTTGTAATGTTTTGAGTCTAAAATAAACGTGCTTTTGTGGTGGTTGTAAGCACATAACGGTGAAATTACAGTGGTTAAATTTCACCTTTTGCGTAGGCAAGTAGGACAAGGGTAACAACATCATTTCAGGCTTTTAAGACTACCTGGGATTGCAGTCGGTCCCAGTTTGAAAAGTATGAGAAACACCGACTTAATTAACCCCCAGAACCGCTTCGCAAGTTTCAAAACCGGGACGATTTTAACACAAGTCACGCCCTACCCTACTTTTCCCACCCTTTTTTTTCTCTCTCTCTCTTCTTCGGTCACTTGACACTCGTGTTACTCAAGGAGACTTCGTGACCGACTTTACCCCCTTAAGCGATATTTTCACCCGGGGGCTGGGGAATTATATTACAATTTTAAAGGCCAACTTGGCGCATTATTTTCTGGAAAATACGAGCGCCACCCCGGGGAGGGGCACGCATCTGGCGATTTCTCGACACGACGCCCCCTAATAAACGGCACCGTAAACTAATGAGTGGAGATTGTAAGTCAGAAAGTAGCAAGAAAACATTTGAAAATATCCATTATTAATTGGGTTTTTAAATTTAAAGTTAAAACTTTAATGAACAACTATGAAAAATGTAAGCATTTGAACCTACGTCTTTGTGTAAGTTGTTTCCATTTATTACTTTCTCTGCCTACTCTCCCTCTTACTCACACTCTCTCTCTCTCTCTCTCTCTCTCCCTCTCTCCCTCCCTCTCCCTCTCTCTCTCCCTCCCTCTCCCTCTCTCTCTCTCTCTCACACACACTCTTTATCCCACTCCCTTTCGTACTCTCCCCACTTCTCTTTTTATTTTTTATCACATTGTCCAGTACTTTCATATCTTTTTTTTATATCTAATGATTTTGCTATCATTTTTTTTCTTTTGGACTTTTTTCCTTTNTCTCTCTCTCTCTCTCTCTCTCTCTCTCCCCCCTTTCTCTCTCTATCTCCCTTTCCCTCTCCCTTTCTCTCTCTCTCTTTCTCTCTCTATCTCTTTGTCGGTAAGAGCCAATAGCAACATATGGTTGGTTATAAGAAAAGCACGGCTTTTCCGACAGCAAACACAAGAAATGTAAATTATTAAATCAACGTAATAATTCTGAAATTAATTACGAGCGGAGGTCGGAACCGCACAAAGAAAGTCAGACGATGGTCCTCATTCATCATTATTTGGGCTAATATATTCAGCCGTATATTGCAAACGAAACCGAAGAGGGAATCAGAGGCTAACTTTATCTCCTGCCCCCCTCTTCACCGGGGTCATGTTTAATGCAACGAAAAGTCGACAACAATTTCAACTTCCTGTGACCGCCCTGTTAGGGCGCACTTGTTCCCAGGAGAGAATACAAATTGGGACTTACACCTCTGAGCATGTTCCACGTCTTGCTTTCCACAATGCCGGGCATCTTCTTCCCCCCGGGCTGGGATCTTTTCAATTTCGCCCTAACTGAAACGTAAGCGTTTCAGCCCCTGATTTCCATTGAATCTGCCCAGAGAACGGCATAGAGACCGTGACAGAAAGAAATAGATTATAAAATTTGTAAAACAACATTTCAGATTGCTATATATTATTCGACTAATGTACCAAAGGTTAAGCAGCATCGCGATGACCGGAAACGACCTAACTACATTATCCTAAATGTTATCATTTTTTAATTTTTTTTTTCATTAACCTATTTTTTTAAGTAAAAAAGGTCGTAATGTGTCAATTTCTTTTAGATTTCAACCAAGACGGTAAATCGGACAACATCAGCTTCATGATCAAGAGGATTAAAGTGCACACGACCGAATCGCTCAACGACCCAAGCTACAGGTTCCCTTCCAATTACGGCGTGGAAAAATTTCTGGAATTGTTCTCAGGTAACTTGAATCAATTTATAACATTTTTCATGAGTTTATATCATCAGCAACTACGTTCTGTCGGCCCACTGAAGGTTTTATTTGCATTGATTCTTCTCCAGTTAGTAATCCATTGATTAAAAACCGTAAGAATCCTATAAAAACCGTTTGTCTTTGATTCGTGTAACAGTTATATTGTGTATAAAGGACAAATTGAAGACTTAGAAAAGGTTCGAAATTTCTTTTTACCAGCTCTCGTTTTAAAGAACGTCGATCCGTACAATTTATTTTTTTTTAATTGCCTACTTTGTTTTTAAACCGATGAAATTGGGCCTCTCGTATTTTGTCCTGATTAAATGCAAAAAACTTACAAAGCGATATTTTCATTTGACCTGACTTTTCCCTTTCTTTCTTCCTTGAGGAATTCCAATTGATCTGAAGGATTGATTGGTAAAAAAGTCTTAATTACATTTATCAAAAGTGTGTTGTGTTTAATGACTGTTAGCCAATGATAATTTGGAAATCGTGAAGTGCGGTCTGGTGTCACGTAGGTTTTAGTAAAACATTTTCTTTCGTGCCGACGTTTCGAACTTTATTGAGACCATCTTCAGCACCTAGGATTTATAAACATTGTTTAAACTAAAAAAAATGAATTTACACAATGCTAGAAAATTTTAGATTAAAACAAATGAATTTATACAATGCTAGAAAATTTTAGATTCAGAAAAAAATGCATTTATACAATGCTAGAAAATTTTAGATTCAGAAAAAAATGAATTTATACAATGCTAGAAAATTTTAGATTAGAAAAAAAAGAATAAATTTATACAATGTATGCAAATTTTAGATTCAGAAAAAAATGAATTTATGCAATGCTAGAAAATTTTAGATTCAGAAAAAAAATAATAATGAATTTGTACAATGCTAAAAAATTTTAGATTCAGAAAAAAATGAATTTATACAATGCTAGATAATTTTAGATTAAAAAAATGAATTTATACAATGCTAGAAAATTATAGATTAGAAAAAAATGAAATTATACATTGCTAGAAAATTTTAGATTAAAACAAAAAAATGAATTTATACAATGCTAGATAATTTTCGATTAAAAAAATAAATTTATACAATGCTAGAAAATTATAGATTAGAAAAAATGAAATTATACATTGCTAGAANTGGAAAATGCATTTATTGACTTTATCAATTCTAAAAATTCTGAATTCTACTCAGACGGAATTAATAAGTTACCAACACGTTGGGAGAAATGTATTGAGAGTATGGGAAATTATTTTGATTAAAGAACATTGCTTTAAAGTAACTAGTTTCTTTTTTTTTGTTTAATACCAAAATCCTGCATTATTTTCCGGACAACCCAATACAATGCTAGATAATTTTAGATTAAAAAAATGAATTTATACAATGCTAGAAAATTATAGATTAGAAAATAATGAAATTATACATTGCTAGAAAATTTTAGATTAAAACAAAAAAATGAATTTATACAATGCTAGATAATTTTCGATTAAAAAAATGAATTTATACAATGCTAGAAAATTATAGATTAGAAAAAAATGAAATTATACATTGCTAGAAAATTTTAGATTAAAACAAAAGAATGAATTTATACAATGCTAGAAAATTTTAGATTCAGAAAAAAATGAATTTATACAATGCTAGATAATTTTAGATTAAAAAAATGAATTTATACAATGCTAGCAAATGATGGATTAGAAAAAAATGAAATTATACATTAATAGAAAATTTTAGATTAAAACAAAAGAATGAATTTATACAATCCTAGATAATTTTAGATTCAGAAAAAATAATGAATTTTACAATGCTAAAAAAAAGCATTTAACATTGTATAAATTCACTTTTTTCTTAATCTAAAATTTTCTAGTATTGAATAAATTCATTTTTTTCTGAATCTAAAATGTTCTAGCATTTTATAAATTCATTTTTTTTCTGAATCTAAAATTTTTTAGCATTGTACAAATTCATTATTATTTTTTTCTGAATCTAAAATTTTTTAGCATTGTACAAATTCATTATTTTTTTTTCTGAATCTAAAATTTTCTAGCATTGTATAAATTCATTTTTTTCTGAATCTAAAATTTTCTAGCATTTTATAAATTCAGTTTTTTTCTGAATCTAAAATTTTTTAGCATTGTACAAATTCATTATTATTTTTTTTCTGAATCTAAAATTTTCTAGCATTGCATAAATTCATTTTTTTCTGAATCTAAAATTTTCTCGCATTTTATAAATTCATTATTTTTTTCTCTGAATCTAAAATTTTCTAGCATTGTATAAATTCATTTTTTTCTGAATCTAAAATTTTCTAGCATTGTATATTTTCTTTTTAGTTTAAACAATGTTTATAAATCCCAGGCCCTGAAGATGATCTCAATAAAGATCGAAACGTCGGCGCGATAAAAAAATTTTATTTAAAAACTGAAATAATAATGCAATATAAATACTGTGCAAGTTTCGAATCAATTATAGTTTATGCTTAGGTGGTCTTAATGAGATGTTTTCTTTTTTGGTCATCTCTTTGTCTATTTTCTTTTTTTTTACCTTTTAACCCGTCTCATGAGATTGAGTGCGGCTGTTTATCAGCGTCAAAGCTGACAAGATGTTTGCTGGATAGTGCAGGAGTAGATTAAATCTTGACGGCAATCAATATCCCGGTGTATATACTCCGTAACATATTAGATAGTCGGTTCTAAATTTTGATAACAAAACTTTTGTCAATATATGTATATTTTTTTAATAAAGAAAGCAAATGAGCGTTAATCAATCATCACGATGTATTGTGGGAATTGGGTTTGGCTGGGGTTTGGATTACGAAAACGGCCGTCCATCTGGCAAAATACCACATTACCATTCTGCCCAAATTCCTACCTCAGCCCCTGGACCTTTTTGCAATTTGAATTTCCTCCCGTTGTTCTTTTTCTTTCGATTAGGCCCAGTTGATTGATGGGGGCCGATGAGTTTCTCAAGGCCTGGTACAGATGTACATGCAAATTAACCGGACCGACGTCACGTCTCGCCTTGGAGCCCTGGTGGATTTTTTTGAAAAACCATGAATATTCCCGAGAGCGGGAAATCTCGGAAATTACCTGCGGGGCTTTCGTTGCTGCACGTGATCGCACTTTTAATTTACCGGAATAAGAAAACTTTCGCCGAAGAATGGCCGAACGGAAGCCTTTAAATTATAAATTGACAAGCCCCTATTATCCTGACAGCCTCTGCATATCCTGTCAGTTGAGAGAAACTGATCAAGATCAGAAAATGACCTTAAAACAGTTATATCATTTTAAAACTCTTACCTTATAGAAAAAAATGGTAAAACAGAAAGGTAACGAAAAATTTGAATTGACTATTAAAAAATTCAAATTTTAAAAACTAAAGCTTCAGGACTTCATTAGGCAGGCTAAGAATTAGCTATACGATGCTCTCAAGACTGGAAAAATTTCGTTTCGAAATGCTTTTCTATCTTATAACAAAAATTAAAAAAATAGGTCTAATTACTTAAATATGACAGACTGTCGAACCTGGCTTAGTGAGAATCGCATGGATACTTTTTTTTCACTATGCCAGGTTACCCTGAAGAAAATTCTCTCTTTCCCAGGTGATAGTTTAAAATTCACATAAAATTGAAATATATTAATTTTTGCCGAGAAAGTATTTTATTTTTAGTGTGAAATTAATCTGAATCTTTACATTAAAAAATCGGTAATTTTCTTCTCAACTGTAGAAATATATGTTTGGATTTTTTTTCTCAATAGCCAGCAATTCCCAAAAAATTTCATCTCTTTTGAAGGTGGGTGTATTCGTTTCCTCGGTTTCCTCGTCACTATCTTCACCTTCAGCAAGTCTGTACGTACTTCCGCATCGTTCCAAAATTCCTTCATCACTGCTTCGATTACGGCATTGTTGGCAAAAGAGTTGTCAACAGTCCTTGAATGAAGGTATTTCATTTACATCCGAAGAAGATGGGCAATGGGAGAGCACATTGTTCCAATCTTCACTTGTTACTAACCAACCTTCCTCCTTACTATCCTCCGTATTTATACGAGAAGTGATGAACCCACATGTTCCAAAATTGTTGGCAATCCTCGATGATTTGAAATCATGACAAGCTCTGAACTGTCATTGCACGAAGTATGGTGATATCGGGAAGCTGAGAGGACTGCTAGATGGAGGAATGATTTCTTTTCTATACAGAAGATTTAGTATTACTCCTTGATCTATGGCTGCAGTCACTTCCGACTTATAGAGGCCATGAATGTGGAAAATTGTCAATTGTACAGATAACCACGCCAATTTAAATTCTCAATAACAGAAGTCAGGTTTTCTCAGTAACCCATGTTTTGAGCCCCTGAAGGGACGAAGCAGCAAAAATTTTCTCAGTAACCGAGGACTGTCACTTATTCAGATTCTCACTAATACAGGTTCGACTGTAATGTAAAACTAGATTATAAAAAAGACGTAAACATAGTTGAACCTTCACTGAATTGAAAAGTATACATGTCAGAAACTAGATCTACAGTTTGTCCGATCATCCCGATACCTACCTTATCGATGTGCCATTATTTCGTCATCATTAGTGCTTGAACCAAAATAGGCGGAAACTACCAACCTATGTTTTCATCACACTCAAAACGTCAAGAACAAATCACTTAATTGTGAGAGTTTTTTCGATCATACTGATTTGCCTTGTCTGTCAAGTCATTCCATCACCTTCAGTGATTGGACAAAATGATCGGAAATTATCAAGCTGTAGTAACCACTTCGCAGACCAAATAGTTCTTGATTGTGAGATTTATCTTTGGGAAGTGCAGGTTGATGGTGAGGATTGTACGCAACTCTCGTTTCACCAAGTATGGTGATTTCTGGAAATTTGATTTCTTTTCGATACAGAAGCTTAAAATTCTGTGTTAATCGTTGGTCTAATGGTTGCAGTCACTTCTCACTTATGGAGGTCATGAACGTGGAAAATTCTTACTTGTGCAAGT